CAGCCCTTAATTATCAAAGTAATAAAAATCTCCGGACACTGCGGAGCATCTTATTTGAAAAGAATTTTCTCGCACTTGAATGTTCCATTGAATTAATAATTCTATATCAGGCCTTTCGAAGAAGACCCCGAAACCTTTGAATACAATGAAATCGGAATCGATCAACCAACTAATGTGACGGAAGAATTCGGTATGGAATAACTCAAATTTCAAATTTGGAATTTTTCAGTTCTCGTTCTATCTGACCTCGCCGGCTCTTCCCCTTCCAACAACGAAATTACAATCCCCATTGAACAGCCAAGACCTCAATCTGTCGGATCATACGAAATCTACCACAATCGGACGGAAAGAACTCACCAAGTTATCCGCCCAAGATCATCAACCATCAACGAATTTTCGCCTTATCCCTCGGTCAATGACAACAGCTCCAGGTTTGTGAGGTGCATTTTTTTTTTTGCCTATTACAAAATTCAGAAAACAACGAAGAGGAGGAAATCAGTCCCCCGGAGTTTATAATGGTCGTAGAATGACATACGCAGAACTGATTGTCGAAGCAATCAAATCTTCAAAGGATTCTAGGATGACACTTCGTCAGATTTACCACTGGATGAGCCGGTAAGAAACAGCTACAAAATGACCTAAATATGTTTCCATCCCGATGAAAGCCGGTTATCGTTATTTACAGAATCTCACTTCGAGGGGATTTTTCAAGTTGTCTTTTTTTTCTCAAAGAGTTTGACAAATATCAATAAAGCAGGTTTGTCCTGCTACAGCGGGATAAACATTGATTCGATGCAAGTACTTTTCCCTTGTCGGGAGGTAGTTTGCGAACTTTGATGCAAAGTAAACGAGCTAAAACTCATTGAAACTTTTAATTTGAAAGCATAGGGAGGTGATTGAAGTACAGTATCGATAGTACAGTATTTTCCCCCCAATAGTATGGAAGTAAATATGATCACTGATAGACAAGCCAAACAGGCGGGCGGTACGGTAATCCTCTAAATGCAAATATTGACTTGACCAATGAACTTTCTTTTTCTAAACAAGTTTCAGAAATGTCCGAGAATTCGGTCCTAACGGTGGTCCGGGCTGTCCCAGTACTAACTCGTGGAAAAACTCCATCCGTCACAATCTATCACTTCACGAAATGTTCAAGGTGAGACTTTGACCGAGCCGGGCGCTACACCCAGTGTGAAGATAGTCCGATTGGAAGTTCTAACTCAAAATTAAGCGCGTTCCGAACCACACTCGAGGAGAAAGTGCTTTCTGGGTTATTGATACGACTCCATCAAACAATAACGATATTTATTATAAACAAGATAATAACCAAACATGTACGAAAAACATTATTTCTATAAGAGTCTCATAAACGGTTTTCTAGGGCCTCATGTTCGACCAGAACTCTTTCGACCCTCTCTTACCTGCCCTCCAAATGTACGACTTGAAGCAAACTATCAAGTTCCAAACTTCGACAAAATCCGACAATCCGCAACAAACTCGTTCTGCCAAGATTTGATCATTTGCGAAAAATTCCCTGAGCTTGCTCGAATCATCTTTCCAAAGAGTAAGCTTCAACTTGATAGCCCAAACTTACTTTTACATCATTAGAAGAGCCAAAAGTCGAACCAATTATTCGCCTCCCTTCGATCTCTTTGGACAATATTCCAGATAGCCACAGTGATAACGAGCTCTTTTCCGCAATGTTCTCAAAACCACCTTCTGAAAATGATTTTTCATCCTGCGCCAGTCCTTCTAACTCAGGTATTCATATCAATTTTCCTACAAAAGCTAAACTTTTCTGCAGAAATCTTTGATAGTCCCCATCCCTCCCCTTCCACTGCTGACGAAGGTTTCGATAGCATTTCAACCTTGGATAACTTTGAGCTCGACGACATTTGCATGGAGAGCGATGTCAATACAATTTTCAACATGTAAAGAGAGATGTTTCTTTCAACAAATGCAATTAAAACAACTTGTTCATTCTAATGTCTTAAGTCTGAAAGATTTAATAAATATACTTGTGAATAATTTTATGTTTTGTTCTTCTGTTTATTTCTTATAATTATTTTGTTCTTCTGCTTTTCGTTATTCTCATTCTTTGATCTTCCCAAGCTAAAGAGTCCCCAGAGAATATCTCTTGAAAAAATAATGCCTGATTTTGACCCTTTATCACTCATTTTGAATTTTTATTCAACGATTACAGCGTATTATTCTTTCATTGAAAGAGTGACAGGAAATGATTTTGACGTCTCTGTAAATAAATGATTTTTAATAAATTTACTTCGATATTTCGAGGGCTGAAATCATGATTATTGAATTTGAAAACACCAATTTGGTGGATTAAACTCGAGGTTACCGAAATCATAATAGACGTACCTCTCTATAAAAATAGATGTTTTGTACTAAGTCAATTATCTCCATAAAACCCTCCGTGAGAACATCTCTAAAACTAACAAGTTGTCAACTAAAATCACATTCAATCAGGATATAAACTGGAGATGCTAGAATTTGGAACTCTAAGAATTAACAAAGATTTTGACGAAAATTTTCTTGAGATGAAAATTTTCCGAGTTTTTGCCGCTTTTGCTCTTGCTGATGCTGCTGCTATGGGAGGCGCCATGGGCATGGGCTCAAGAAATAATGCTAAATTTTTGACATATCGGGTAGAATATTCTTTGAGCCAGTAAAAGATCCTAACCCAGAGCCGGGAGCAGTTACCTTGGAGCCGACTGAGCCGCCAACTATGCCACTCACTTCAACTCCAGCTCCAACCACCACTACAACTCCTACTACCACAACCACAACCACCACCACTACTCCAACAACAACAACCACTACCACTCCAACTACTACGACCACGACTACTCCAACAACTACAACCACTACTCCAACCACTACCACCACTACCACAACGACTACAACCACTACAACAACAACACGGGCTCCAACCACGACCCAAGCGCCATCATCTGGTGCTGGCACGATTGAAATGACTCTTCCTCTGATCGCCGTCGCCGCTTTCCTCCGCGTCTAAAGAAACACTCCATAAAAGCAAACAAATCATGTCCGCAAATCATAACTGAATCCTTCCTCTTCATTCTTTATTCTCCTTCAATAAAATTCGATGCATCCATCCTTGTCTAAGAATAGCAAACGTTGACGATAAAAGAATATGGCCCAATCAATCACGTGGCTAATTACACAAACAAATATAACGTCGAACTTCACATTCTCTTTATATTTATAAAAGATAGAGAAAATTCACAATGAAGATTCCTGGTCTGATACTATGGGGAGGATTACAAAACATCAGTGATTTTTATAGAAAAAAGTTTGTAATCATTCGAGCCTCTCATCAATGCAAAATCGAAAAACTTTACTGATATCGAGGAATTAGCGATGTCAGTGGAAGTTCAACTTGATGGAATTTACAGTAATGCATTAGAGCTGTCGAAAAAGACGCTTTTATAGAAGATCAACTCGAGTTTATAGAAGAGGCACTTCTTGACGTGGAAGCTAATGGTAGTGGGAAAGGGCCCATATTATATCTATGTTAATTCCAAATCAAATGTATAGGTTCATTGAAGAGATCAGCTTGAGTTTGATAAGATCGAAACGGACCTGGGGCTGCTCAACGAAAAAGAAACTGCAATCAAGGAAGAGATCGAAAATCTCCGCGCAGAAGTGCAATCCGAAAATGAAGTATACAACTCACTCGAAATGCAGCTGAACTCTGTTAATGATACATTGAATAATGTTCTTGAAGAAGTCGGCGAGAGAAGATCTGACTTTCGTAAACTGAAAGTTGGCATCTATGAAGATCAGGCGAAGACACGAGATAGCCTAGAATCATTCAACGCGACGCTTACCTATTTGGGTGAAGAAACAGAAGCTCTTGAAGAAGACTTTGCTAATTCAAAAGAGAGATGCTTTTGCAAGAGACTCGAATGGAAAAAATTATTGATGAAAAGTATGACGATTTCACCGAGAAATTCAGAGAAATTGACGAGAAAATAGCGACACTACAAAACTCAAGCGAGCAAAACTCGCAAAACGATCAAAACTTTCAAATTCAAAGTCAATTACTGAAGATTTTAAATCGCTTGGAGATCGTAGAGTCGTCAAAACTCATAACTGAAGAGAGAATGAAACGCATGGAAGAAAACTTTCAAAAAGAGAAGGCGGATCTTCTCGAGATGGTGGAAAAGGCAGAAGAAAAGAGTAGACGAGCAGCTAGAAGTGTGGAAAAAGTTCAACAAGAGCTTGAGCAACTTAAACAATCGATAGAGAAGGAAGGACACAGCTGGCAATAATAATGTTGAAGATAAGGAGAAAAAGTGCAAGCTGACGTGTAAAGAATATGATAATGGATTTAAAATGTTAAGCAAAAGAGGCATAAAAGATATATTTAAAATCCATTTATAATCAGTTCAAATTCCCAAATTGAAGAAAAGGAGTGTTTCGTGGAATGCACGACGAAAGACGAGCGCTTAAAATCCGAGTTGTCTTGTGACTCGATTTCCGACTCATTCTGTCTACGAGACGAGCACTGTGGGGACTGTGGAACGTGCTTAGCAAATGTATGTTCGAAGAGAACGAATATCAAAACGAATTTGATCATCATCGGTGGCAACCATTATGAGTTTACTTTCGATAAACTTGATCTCAATACTATGAAGACTGCACATATTTACGGGCAAGTCTTCTCAATATTAGACTCTAAAGTTTTCAGTATTCACTATGTAATCTTCAGGAGAGATCAGCCGCTGAATGGACATAGTCGAAGCGATCCATTAATACACTTCTGCAGTGTACTTGTAAAAGACAACATGTTTATCATTGGCGGACATCTGATTCGTGAAATAAGAAGCGGGGAACAAGAAATGAGAAGGCATAGCATTCGAGATGTTGCTCCTCATCTTCGAGTAAGCCTGTTCAAGTTTGGCTTTCAATGAGCTATTATTTCAGAGACATTCGTGTTCGCCAGTTGCAAATGATTTCATTATAGACAGGGTTGAAATTATTTTTTGTTGGTATTTTTAGTTTATACATTTATGTATTCATTCATGTAATTGGGTTTGATTTTATAAAGAATGACTGGACGTCAATCGACAAAACTGGAATATAATGTTTATAGAAAATATCAACCCAACATTGCGTGTTGTCCACAATCTCGACAATATAGTTCTATAAGAAAATGCTGGAAAATAATTCCTGGGTCTGATCATCCAAGGACATTTACGTGGGACTCCACCTCTCACGGGCATTATTCTGCCGCCATGGTTTCGTTAGTTGATGAACAAAATCCATCCTTGCGTCAGTTTATGGTCAATAAGAAATTCAAATTAGAAAATTAAAATTAGAAAATTATACTGATGACCTGGAAAAGCCTCTCGTTATAGCCGGAGGGTTGAAACCAAGAACTAACAAGGTTGAAATAAATCACCACGATGGAGCAGGCTGGCGAACAATGAACTCTTTACCTAAAGCATCTTCTTCTCTAGCTATGACTTGGCCACGGAGTTTAATTTAATTTTATTTTCAATTAAGAAAATTAGTTATCATGGCCGATAAGAGCAAAAATACTCTCTACGTCTCTGGTGGATATACCGAAAGTCCCAAATCATCGTCATCTAAAGTCTACAAACTTGAATTCGAAAATAATAAACCGATTGGAAATTGGCTTGAAGCTGGCAGCATGAAACGTGAGTTTTGCAGAAATCATCAACATTCTAACAGAAATTCTTTGGACATGATGTCAGCTAGACGTCCTGTTCAAATGAAGTGCACTTTGTATTATATTTCTCGGAACATCCCTGGGTCAACGAGAAAACTAGAACAAGTCAAGCTAGAATATGTTGCCAACTCATCATTTTAGTCGCTCGAGACTCTCACGCCATGGTTGCATGGAATGATGGCCTGGTCATTTTCGGAAAATACGAAACCAACAGCGATAGATGGGAGTACTTCAACGAGGATGCTTCTCGATCGGAATTCTTAGATATTCCGCCCGTCGCGAGACTACACTTTTCATATGTTCTTGCTTCTCCTACATTTATTATTTAAAAAATATCCATAAAAAACTCCCAATAAAATACTTTCTTCGATTCTCATTGAAGTTCATGTAGCAGTAGTGGAAAAACAATTTACCTATTTCAACAAACAAAGTCACTGACCAGTGGTCAGATCATCTGACTTATCAATTTAAGCCTTACTGAAGATTCTGCAAAGAGAGACTAAGAGGAAAATGATTCTTGCATTTTGTTATTTTCTATTATCGGAACGGATTTAAGCTAGCATATTTTACAGTGCAATAGGCGCATAGACTATGCGGCATAGTAAATCCAAACTCGAGATATTTACTGTCAAAGTGGAATCAGATGACTTTAATGACATACAGAATTTGACCGAACTTGCACTCTCAGTTGAAAACCGGTTCGAAGATATTCTTGAAAACGAGCGAGAATTATCGAGGACAGATGAGTCTTTAGAAGAACGATTGGAGATACTAGAAGACTTAGGATTCTCTGAAAATGAAATGGGCAGTGGGGAAGACAGTCTTCCATCCAACGAAGAGGATGACGATTTCAGAGCCGAAATGAGAGTTTTTAAGAATCAGATGATCTCATTCATGCCACTACTTAACAGCCTCTATGAAATGGGAATCATGGAAAAAATGAGAAAATTTGATGAATTAAGAGGAAGCTCAATGGGAGCTCCTGACGTGAGTGATCAAATCGGGAAAGCCGAGAGTCGAATGACCGAGATTCTTCAACAAGAAAAAACCGAACTTCTTGAGGCACTGAAAACTTCAAGCAGACGTGCGAATAAAAAAGTGAAAAATGTTGAAGAAGAAGTTGTCGCGCTCAAGGCAGAATTGAAGCAAAAAGAAAATGTATTTAAAATGGAACTAGATGCTCTTAGAAGAAAGCTCCAGGAAAGAAAGACTTTACGATTCTATGACGATATTTATGGCGATATAATGAATTCTACGATGACTCCTGTTAGTGAAGATGAAGAAACCGAAGATGAACGCGAAGAGAATAAAACAAATTTGATAATTATCGGAGGCGAAGGTCATGCTCACACTTTTGACCAACTTGATCTCAATACGATGAAACTTTCGCATCTATACAAGTAGGCTAGAAATATCAATTCATCTTGAACGTAATAATTTAAGCAAAGATCATAAACTTGCTGGCCAAACATCAAACGTATTGTATTACCACTGCAGCGTTCTTGTGAAAGATAGCGTCTTCATAATTGAAAGAAATTCTATCAGCGAAATAAGAAGTGGCGAGCAAGAAATGAGGACCTTCGACAATGGAATCTCCCTGAATCTGCTTGTAAGTAAAACAATAACATCCTATATTAAAGCATTTAGAAACATTCCTGTGCCGCAGTTGCAAACGAGTTTATTATAGAAAGAGTTCATATTTTATTGTATAGAACGAGCTTTTATCAAATGAGAACTCAGTACTGTTTGCGGCGCGTATTTCAGAAACTCTGTCAGCTTTACGAAAAAATGTTGGAAAATCACTCCTGGCTCGTCTTCTCCAAGCACAAGCGCCTGGGAGACAATGTTGCATGGCCATTCATTAGCGGATATGGTTTCTCTGGTCGACCCAAATGATTCGTCTGCGAGAAAGGTAATGATCGTTTCCTCGAATATCATCAAAACTACAAAATAGCCCGTGGTAATTGCTGGAGGAAACCCAAAAACTGATGCAGTCGAGATCAACCGTTTCGATGGGAGAAGATGGCAGTTGACACGCCTCCTTCCAGACGCTATTTCTTCCCTTGCAATGACTTGGCCATGGATAAATATCATGAAAACCTAATGATCTCTTACTATTTTCATGGCCATTGAGACAAATAATTTCATTTACGTCTCTGGAGGATATGCGGGTGGAAAGTCGTCAACCGCTGTCTTTAAACTACGATTTCAAAATGATGAGCCTGTTGGCGAATGGGTGCTTGCTGGAAATATGAAAAGTACATATAGTATATAGCTAGGGACTTTCACGGAAAAATCAAGGTGCTCCGATAACTATGAAAATTTATCATCTAGTACAGTTTTTTTCGCTGATTCCAAATATGTACTTAATTTTTACATAAATCCACATGGTGGCGCGTGAGAGCGCTTCAAACTTTCGAAGATGGCACCCTTATACTAGCCTTTCAGGTTATTTATTTCATTCAAAAATGGTTTGAATAAAGTAATCTTGCCATCAAACCTCTTTCTCGTGATATTTTCTCGAAAGAGCTCACTATTTAAGCCTTTAATAAGCCTGAAAAGCTCTCAGAACAAGCATTTATTTTTAGCGCTGTCTCACAGCGAGGCGCGCTAATCTTAATCAATTCACTGAGCGGAAATAAGAATAAATAGTTTATTTTGATCAGTATTAGGCAGTAAAAACAGCTGTTATCATTAAATCAAAATGCTCAAGAACTTGCAGCAAGAAATCGAACCACTCATTTTGTCACCTTCCACCGAAAGGTTCGGCCCTCGCTGCGGGCGATGCTGCTCCAGGCCCTTCGCGCGGTGCCCCGCGTCGCGCGAGTTGCGACATGCCTCTAGTTATCTGAAGATTTCAAGCGGCTAGTACGCCCAAGTAAAAATATTTTTTCAGAGATTCAAGGGAAGTGTCTGATAGAGAATATATCGAAAAAAGAGTGACCTGGCAAGGCATGGTCTATATAATTCACCTCTTTGAAAGATAAATTTCGTGTTTTTCATAATATTCAATATTTTTTTGCCAATTTTTCAATCATATTTGGAATCAGCAGGTAAGAAAACATATGTTGTCTGAAAAAACAAGAAAAATCGATGACTATTTAGGGTAGTTGGGAAAGCAAAAATTGGGCCCTCGCGCTCCCGTGATAGTCCCTATATATAGCATATGCTGTTTAGCTGAATAAGTTTTATAAAAAAATAGTTGCTAGAGACACCCACTCGATGATCCCTTGGAATGATGGTCTTCTGATATTCGGAAAATTTGAGACTGAAGATAAATGGGAGTATTTCAACGAAGATGCGACTCTTTCATATATTCTTGAACTTGAACCTCTCGCAAGAAAAGCGTTTTCTTGTGTCAAATTACCAACTTCTTTCATTCTCTAAAAATAAAGATATCATGAAAAATAACAGGGAAATATTATTGTCAATAATTTATTGAAAGAATTTAGACTCAGAATTTCAGAGTTAAACATACCACAACTGACCTGAAGTATTTATTAGTAAATACTTTCGAATTACTTTAACCACAAAATGGCACCCTACGAATGCAAATCCAGGTGTCTCAGGTGCAAGTTGGCGGTGCTGAGCACGTTAAATAACAAACTCAGCAGTTTACAACAGCCTCGAGCGCTTTCTCCATCGGTATAAAACGTGAGTGGAGATACCATTTTCATAAAGAATATTGAAAAAGAGAGAAAATGGCAGCTGCTTGTCCGAACAACGCCTGGACTATCGCTGCTGATGGTTGCCTGCCAGCAGACATCGCAATCACCTGTGGAAGCTCTCAAGTGACAGTCAGCGTTCTCGTCGATCATCTTTACGAGAATCTCCCCGAAGACTATCACGACAACGCCCGAATCGAATTCGGGGACTGCACTGGCAGCAACAGACCAGATGCCAACAACACCATCTCAGAAACCTTCGACCTCAACGCCTGTGGAGGAAGATTTACTCAAGATGAAGACATCTTCGTTGCCTTTTACGTCAAAGGCGTTGACTCAGCAGCTTCGACAGAGGTGCAAGGAACAGACATTGTTCTTACGCCTGTTTTATCGTTCGAAGTTGAGTGCGAGTACAGCTCCACAACAACTCTCGAATCGGTCAATTTCGACGTTGATACTCCTGATGTCGACTACGGCAACGTCACCGGAACCGTCGGAAATGTAAGTTGATATGTTTATAGGCTTTTTCAATTCGTTTTTAGTTCAATGATAAGTTCTTAATGGACTGGTTCTCCGATTCTGCACTTGAAAATAAAGAAGAAGTCTCGCTCGGTGACGAGGTTTACATTCGAACCACCTCTAGCCTCGAAGCGAGCCACAACTACCGACTTACATCTTGTACCGCCAGTCAAGGCGACAAAACGATTGAGATTCTTTCGGTATAATTAACAACTCAAATCTTATTCTAAATTTGTTAAGCAATGTGACGAGGGCATCAAGGCTGGAGCGATGGCCATCCTTGGTATCGGCGAAGTCTCTCCTGCCACTGCAGAGAACAGTGGAATTTATAGCTTCGGCTTCAAGTCCTTCACCTTGGCTGATGAAGCTAGTTCGCTTGATATTGAATGCAACTTGTCGATTTGTCTCCTTGATGATTCTGGGGCTCAATTAGACGCCGACTGTGGGCAATGCTAAACTTATTCACTGTACTTCTTATTTTCATTCTGTTCAACCGAATCGAATAAAATTCAGTAAAAATATTTCCACGAAAAACATCGAAAAACTATTGAAAATGAGACGACTTAAAAATCATTTTTGCCAATCACCTTGACAGAAATTTCATCAAGAGTATATCTAGTGAAATTAATTAGTATTCGCTCACTCAGCTTTGATGGGGAGGATTTACGGCTGTCTTCAAGGTGTTTGCTTCACTGCTGTCAAAGATGGTCACAATAAATCTGAGTTTGCTACTGGTGCCAACGACGTGCGATTCTAGTGTTGGAACTGCCATTCAACATCAGAAAAATCTCACTTTTGAGACCACTATTTCACCTTATTCACAAAATGCTAAGTTCAAGAGACAAGGAGCGAAAAAATAACAGAGACCGAAGGAAGAAAAATGAAAACAAAAAGGAAGAGACAAGTTTTTCAAAGAAAATCAGCGATCTTGCAGAGTCAGCGATGAAATTCTTCTCAAAGAAAAAGGCTTGGTCAAAAATATTTACAGAAATGTCAAGTGAAAATTTTGACTCAAAACTCTTTGGAGCGGAGCTCATGCAAAGCTCCTTATCTCCGTTTACTGTAAACGGTTTACACTTGAGAATCGGACGTGAAAACGACCCCGTAATTACCGCTTCGGTGGCACTGGAAATTGTCTACCTTTGACGTTTTTAGGCACGTCATATTTTTTGACCATTCTAGAGCCAAAAAATCTGGCAATTACAGAACAACGCGTTCCTGAGCGTAAGTTCTCACTCAAACGCGTCAATTCACTAGCAAAAGCGCGTCAATCAATATGCGATCAGTTTCAGGAACAGTTTAATCAAATCTTTCACCACATCGTGTGAAATTACAGAGACGTCATTTGGTAGATCCCGAGGCCAAACAAGTCTCACAAATGATTTTCATTTGAGGTGACCGTTTCTTTATTTTTGAAAATTCTCAAAAAAAAACTGTCCAAAGGCAATAAGAACCGCACAGACAATCGGAAGAATTCAGCGAAACGGTATGAGAAAATTCCTCTCAGTTATATTTTCAACAATTCCAAGTCGCCCAAAACAGACCTGTTCATTTCAAACCACAGCGATCAAGTACAGTTCCTTCTCCGGTAATTTAAGCATATGACACGCTCAAATAACGCATTTTCAAAGAATCTCGCAAGCTCAAAACAAGCCTCAGAAGACGTGCCAATTCATGCTCGTCTGCGAGTGAAAACGCGAGGAAATGCTAGTTGCCGCAGTCACGCCAGTCCGAGACCAATGACTCCGCTAAAAGACAAAACGCCATCTTCGACGAGCCCCGAATGTCCGAATCGCCGAGGTAAAATGATTTCCAAACAATCTAAATTCGAGTTTTCACCAGTCCTGGCTCACGCGCTGTGCGATCATTGACTCTGCAATAAACACCTTCTCCCTAATGCGTTACTTTCTCTTCTGAATACTGCCGCCCCATCAACTTCTAAAAGTCGATTTACATTCGCACATTAGCGCATCTAGCAAATTCAAAGGAGGCGTTGAGTGAAGGATCAGGAACACTAAAACATTCCCCACATTCTGACGCAAATTTTACAAATCAATTTTATTTAGTTTTAAAATAAGTAAGATGAGACCGTTAACCATGAATTCTAACATTTCTCAGCTGAGGACGATCGTCTCATAGTTGCCGACATCCTTTTTCGTCTTCTCCTTTTCTTTTGTTGAGAAATTTGAATCTGCTTGAATACCCATGTTTCTCGGAAATTGCTTCTTTTTCGGTCTCTTCAGATTTCTCCGGTCTCATCAATTCTTTAGGATACACCTTGCTCGCCTCTGAATGATGGATGAAAATAAGGAAGGGAATCTGACAAACCTAACACAGGATAAAGCTTGTCTGGCAGACTACAAAAGAGTCGGTATGATTCGTAGGAGCTGTCTTCTTCCAAATCTGAAGAAAAGCCATCTGGGGTTTCATATCTTAAATTGTCGATGATCGTCTGTTTTTGTTCTGCTGAAATGCCGAGTAGTTCCTTTCCACTCAATTCGGAAACTTCTTCCAATAGCGGATCTTCTTCAAGTCTAAATAATTTCGGTCTAAAATCACTGGTGCCTTGCAGTAGTTTTACTTTGGGAGATCTTTGTATCTTCGCGAGTTGGAAGGATCAAATTTGATCTTTGGACGCTATCATAAACATAATTTTCTTCTGAAACTAATGACTTTGTTGATAGCGTTTCATAACAGTTTCAGGCGAGTCCCTGAGATTCTTCGTTCTTTGCTTCAAATCATTCTCAGGCTTCTTCTTCTTCTTTCGCTTACAGCAGAGCATGGAAGAGTCCAAGTTGCGTAAGAGAATCGTGATCTTATTGGTAACTAAGTAAAAGTATTTCTTAGAATTTTTGATCTAGAAAAATTTAAGAATTATGTTTTATTTGAAGTTAACTGATGTTTCTACCGAAACAAAGTTTTTGCGTTCTCAAGCAGCTTTGCATCCATAACTCGGGATCTTCCACTGCTCTCGACCAATCGCGCTTGAGCAGCCGCGCATCACTAAAGTCGCAAAATCCGAAAAACGGTTTCACGGGACGCTACTCGCGGAAAAAGTCACGAGAATCAACGAGTCTCTGTTGGAGTCTATTGGACAATTATTTGAGAAATTTCTATTCAGAATAAAACAACAAATATTGAGAAAATGGTTGAAGAAATAAAGGTAAGTTTATATAATCTAGTTTATAAAATATCAATTCAAGAGAATATTTTCAATTTCAAATTCAGTCCGAATTCTCAACTTTAATTTAGCCCTCTGCGATACAAGTGATCAAACCGCTAACAATCACAGAAGACGACGAGGAAAAACAAAGTTCGAGCTCCAAACAGAAGCGCTGGAATCTCTTCTTACAGACAAAAGTGTTGCTAATCTTCCAGTCTCCGTCATCTCCGTTACTGGCGCCTTCAGAACTGGCAAATCGTTTCTCCTAAACTATCTCTTGCGATATTTAACAGCGCTGGAGAATGAGCAGAGCGAAGACGAGTGGCTTGGAGATTTTGATCAAGAGCTCGAAGGGTTCAAATGGCGAAGAGGAGCAGGTAACGAATCAGATTCTTCTGTGTTGCTTTATTGAGTTCTTAGACCCTGAGACCTCCGGAATAATGGCATGGAACAAAGTTTTCGTAATCGAACCGATTCCAGGCCAAAAACAAGCTGTCTTACTTCTCGACACTCAAGGAGCGTTCGATCTTGACTCCGATGTCAAGGACATAACTCTTATATTTGCTCTTTCTACGATGCTTTCTAGGTTTGTTCGTTTCTTCATCCTTTTCGTTTAAAAAACCTCAGTCTCCAAATCTACAACGTACGCGGAAATCTTCAAACCGACAATCTCCAGCATCTGCAGCTCTTCACTGAATTTGGTCGACAAGCGATCGCCCAAGAAGTTTCAGATTCGGAGCCCTTCCAGAACTTGCTTTTTCTCGTACGCGACTGGCAATTAGGTTTCAAGCTCTCTTCCATCCGGTTTCATATTAAAGTTTTCAGATGATTCCGAAGGATTCGATGGAGGAAGCCAATTACTCGAGAAACTGATGAAAATAACCCCGAAAATGAATGACGAAAAGCGCGAGCTTCGAGAACATGTGAAATCTTGCTTCAAGGTATGTTAAATAAATATATTTTCAAAGCACGAATTGATGATTAGAGCATACGGGCATTTTTGATGTCCCATCCTGGCGATGCCGTGCGCAAGGGCGAATTCAAAGGCGAAACCTCAAAGCTCCACCCCGATTTTGTTTCGAATATGAAAACTCTTGTACCAGAACTGCTCAACTTGCCAGATACAAAGTTCGACACTGCAGGAAACCCTCTTACCTGCGCCGAGGTCTGCGACTACTTCAAAAAGTACACGGCGATTTTCCAAAATGAGGAAATGCCCGAGACAGTGACAATCATGGAAGCAACTGCTGAAGTGAATCATCATATGGCGGTGCAGAAGGCGAAGGCTTCCTTCAAACAAGAAATCGAGGATATCATCCCGAAGCAACTTGGATATCTTCAGGCGAATGCCTTTGATGAAAAGTCCAAAGAAGTCATGACGTAAGTTTCTCCCAAAAATCAGTGGAAAACCCCCTTCAGAAATGCTCTCGAAGTTTTTGATGGAACGAAACGAATGCTCAGCAAAAATACGGCCCGAAATTCCGTTCAGACTTGGAAGCAGAACTTATCTCTGACATCGAGCAAAAGAGAAAACTGAACGACGAGCGGAGAGCAGCGAAACTCGTTCAAACGCCACTCATTATTATCGTCGCTCTCTTTGTCTGCTGGTTCGCAATTTTCATCCTCGGTAAAAGTACAAAAGAAGACACGGAATTTATGCGTTTTCTAGAAATGCTTTGGCTCTCTCCTATTGCTGCGTTTGTTAATATCGTTTCAACCCTTCTTATCGGCGGCATTCTCGTCTGGCTCGCGGATCAAAGCAACCTGATTCCCGGCGGATTCCCTGTTCAGCAAATTATCGACCTCATCGCTGAATTACTACGGGACAATATTCTCAAGGTACTTTTTCGTTTCCTACCAAAATCAATTCTTTTCTAGCCAATGGCCGGCGTCGCAATGAACGGAATTCGCCAAGCGAACCCCGACGTCGCCAGGATCATCCAACAAGTAGCAGCGCCTAAGGACAAAGAAGATTAAAAGAAGACGCCATTTCTTTCCAAAAGTTCACGAGTTACAAACTTCATTTAAATAATTTAAACTTATTTTTAGTCCTGCCAAATCTTCTCTTGACTCTATCATGTTTTGTCTCATCCGATATGTTCTTCAAATAAAAACATACCATACAACCAACGGAAAAATACGTTTCATGTCATAATTTTAAGAATGTTTGAGCTAGTCACATTTGAAGATTATGTAAGGATCGAGCCGTTTCTGTTCAATAAAGATCTTGCGGATGCTTGCAGGACGGAGATAAATAGAAAACTCGCGAATAAGGTCTACCAGCGCGCGGGCTTATGCATCTGCATGCACGATATTTTGAAGATTGGGGATTCCGCGATCCTGCCTGGCGAAGGACTTTGGTAAGAAAATAACACTTTTCAAAGCTTTTTTAATGAATCAGCCTTTATACAAAAGAATTGTTAGTCAAAGTTATCGGAAAACCATGTGATTCCTCGTTCGTGGAGCTGCTGCTTTTGATCCTCAACAGCTGCATGTCTGTTTTTACGTAGTCGCTCATGAAGCTTCTTTGATGAAGCCTTGATGGACCGAAAAGTAGTTGAGCCTCACAGAATTGGTAAAGAAAAAAGCTACTGTAATTACCAATTTCATTTTTTGTTCTGGATTGACAAAACTGGATGCCTTTTTATAGAACGTGAAATATTTTTAATATTTCAATTAGCATATGTTTTGGAGCATAAATGATCTTCTATGTTCTTTACTTCCAGATTGTAACCGCGTCATTGTGTTCTTTTTGAGGCTATGAAAAATAACATCGACCTAAATACATGTCAAAAAGCGTATCCCAACTGTCCATAGAGAATAAAGCCATATGTTTAGCAGAACATTCATCAAGTTTCGCTTCATCGTATTCCGCCCTTTCATCCGTGAAGTTCTCGTTGGAAAAGTCCGAAGTTGTTCCCGCGAAGGGTTGAGACTGACGATTGGTTTCTTCGACGATATTTTCGTGCCTAAAGAATTTATTCCGGCGCCAAATGAATTTATACAGAGCGAAGGGGCAAAGGGCAAATGGGTGAGCTTTTCTATTTAAAAATATTTTCACAGATTTTGAAAATAATGTTTTTGATCGAAATGAAACTGACTTTGTTAGATTTGGACATTTGTCGACGAAGATGACCCAGAAGAGTCCGAAAGCCACGAAATTGTAGAACGAGTTGAGGTTCGATTCAGAGTAAAAGAAGAGAAATTTGAAGAATGTCTCCCAGAAACGGGAAGTGGCAACGCAGCTGTACCTAGAATTCCGTATAAAATTGTCGCCACGATTGATGAGCAGGGTCTTGGCCCGCTTTCTTGGTGGAGCTAAATCAACCTCTTTTGATATTTTTCCTTTCAGATAAATTGGTATGTTATCGGTGTTTCGGAGAGCTTTTGTCGGACGAAAAGTGTCGGTCGTCACGGGAATCGCTGGTTATTCAAAAGCAAGTTACGACAAGCTCGGGCTCCTAGTCCTCGGCGCAGAAGAAGAAGGAAACAGTTATGGAAACGTTGGAGAAGACGCATTCTTTCTGAGAAAGACACTGAGCCCAGTTGACAACTATGGAGTCGCAGACGGAGTTGGAGGATGGAGAACAAAGGGGGTCGATCCTTCAGTGTTTTCAGCCACGCTGATGCTCATTTGTAAAGAAGAATCTGTGAGAGTTGGAAATCAACGCGAATTATTAGCGAAGGCCATGGGTAAGTTTTAAATGACGTTACTTGATGAGTGATATTTTTCTTCTAGCTTTCAGCTTATTATTATTTATTAAGACATAATGAACGCGGTCCATGAATCAAAAGAAAAAGATCTCCAAGGAAGCTCCACCGCCGTCCTTTTGTCCGTAGATAAAGAAGAAGACCGCGTTTCTCTTGCGAATCTTGGTGACTCCGGATTTATTCATATACGCGATGGAAAAGTCGAAAAACGAAGCAAAGATCAAACACACTACTTTAATTGTCCTTATCAACTGTCAGTCAAAATTAAAGGATCACAAAGTATATCTGACTCTCCACTGGATGCAGGTACGCCTTGCTTGAAATAGGGGCACAAATTGATCTTTATTTAGATGAATATGAGTTATCTGTCCAGCCGGATGATATTTTGATCACTGCCACCGATGGTTTGTTAGACAATGTTCCACAGGAGATGATATGTGGTATTTTTGACGGAGTTAGTGCAGGTGAGCACGAAGAATCACGCAAAAATGAAGATTTCTTTTCAGATAATCTCGCTGAAAAACTAGAAGAATTGTGTCAAGTAACTCTGGCAATTTCGCTGGATGAAAACTACATGAGCCCGTTCGCTCTCGAAGCAAGGAAACAAGGCTACCAGCGAGAAAAGGGCGGAAAGCTCGACGACCTGACAGTTGTTGTCAATCTATTCCAGCCTTAACCGTTTTCTTTTATTTATTTCGCTTCAGCGCTTCACAAAAATAACAAGATCACTCAAATCAAATAAAAAGCCATCGTTATTCAGAATTCAGATTGATTTGGTAATCAATTTTTATGTCAAAGATACTTGACCTTTTTGTCGCTAACCCTCAGGTTTATTTTTCGTCAAATTCAAGCCATCGTGTAAGGGCCTTATTCAGTGGCTATTAGGGCAGGATAAAGAGGATGAAGAGGAGCAACTCAAGGATATCCTCAAAAAAGCAACGCCTAAGTTAAAGGTTTTGCCAACAAAAAGAAATCGCAGCTCTAGATAATCCATTTTTAGTCTGTCGTCAAAACAGGTCAAGAACAGCAGCAGTATTTTTCAAATTTAACCAGACGGGCTTTCTGAAAACAAACCTGCAAGGCCTTCCAGCAGGATTTTTGGTCGAGGTGTCGGGCGAAGCAGGCGCTGGAAAAACATGTTTTGCACTGGAAACAGCAGCTGCAGCACTTTTGAACGACGAAAAAGGTAGAACAAAAGATTGTTGACTAGTTTATGAATTGTTTTTAAAGCCACGTTCTGTTCATTTCTTCCGAAGGGAAGTTTCCCGCGGAAAGATTGCTGCAGATCATTGGCAATGATTGCAACAGTTACTCGGATAGAGTCCTTGTTGAAGAAACAGAGTACCTAGAGAACTTTCTGACGCTGGTCCAGAAGCTTCCAAATGTATGCAAGAAATACGAAGATTCTGGACATAAAATTGCGTGCATCATCGTCGACTCTATCACGGCGTTGATGCGACTTGAATATGAAGCAAAAGGTAAAACCAACGTTCATATCACGACCGGCTCGAATGTTATTTAAGATTCGATGGCGAGAGGAGACATGCTCGATAGTTTATGCAGTGATCTGAAAGAAATTGCAACGCGCTTCAAATTGCCCGTTCTTTTCATCAATCAAGTGTCTGAGAATATCGACGAGCCGATGATCCATTGGGCCCACCGGCCGATGTCGAAGAAGGTTTGTTTGGACTGAAGAAATTGAGCCAAGATTTCTCAATATTAATTTCAGCCTTCTCTTGGAATAACATGGCGATATTTGATGGACGAGTGTATCTTTTGTCGATCGAGAAAAATGAAAAAGAAGAGAAAGAACGAGTTCTTGAGGTTACCAAGTCCCAGCGAATAAAAACAGTACCACTGAAGTTCAAAATTACCAAAAATGGCTTTGAAGAAGCGTGCTTGATAAATTGTAACGAGTATTTATTTAGTATGGATTCGGCAGGGGTGCGAAAGAATCTAAACGGTGTCCACCCGAGAATACCGTGAGTAACCGAAATTCACAACAGATTTAAAATTATGTTCAGGATATCTTATGACCTGTACAAACAATTGAAAACGGAGGCATCCTCAGAAATGCAGGAAGGGAATATTTCCTGTTCAAAATTCACCCGTTGCCGTCTACTGTTGGCAAGTGCCGTCTTGCATTCATGGGTCGCTCATCTAATCCGGGGGCAAGTCCTGATCCAAATCTAATGTTTGTTGATGTTGATCCTCTCTTGAGAAATGTAGATCTCTCTAACTGGAGTGATCTTATCAAACCGTTGAGGATAGACGACAGAAAGAAACAGGTAAAGAAAAATTGAAATCTTAAACGTCAACGATTTCAAGCGAAGCGTCCAACACGACTTATTGCTCGAGCGAAAACGTCAAAGCCCGAGCAAGGGAGTCAACGACTTCAGCTTCACTGGAAACAGACTTCTGATGCAGGGTGGAAAGAGCTCTATTTTCTACGCGGACATTGGGGAAATCCCTAAGTTTGTGACGCACGAAGTTCCAGCGCTAGATAATGCGGCTCCTCGTATGGACCCGAAGCTCTGTCCTGGAGATGTTAATTACATGGCCTTTTATAGAAATGGAAATTTGTGGCTTCAGAATATCGGTAAAATTTAACATGGCCGCTCAAATTTTAATCACCTTTATTTTAGAAAAAGTTGGTGAAATAGTTCAACTGACTAATGCGGGTCAAGAAAACATCGACTTTAAGGGAGTCTATGCAGGCTGGGTCAATTATCTTATTCAAGAAGAGTTCGACCGATATTCTGGCTATTACTGGCAAGACACAGCTTCTCGTACGCAAAGAATCGTGTACGAAGTCTCCGACGAAAGCGAACTTGAAACTCTGACATACGTCAATCATGTTGCAGTCGCTCAGCAGATTTGTGCAGCGGGTGGCGCGAGTTCTGGCAACGCCCGATCAGCGGCGTCTTCTGAAGCCGTCTTTCCGTCTAGTGGAAGTAAAAATCCAAAGACGGATATTCGTTTCTTGACAGTTAGCTTACCGGACAATGAAACCGATAAGGTGACGGTCAGGAGATTCAAACTTCCGATTCCGCTTATGGAGGTAAGGTTCTTCAATAAATAAATTTATTCCTCTTCATCTTAGTACTTGCCATGGAGTGAAACCGAAAAACAAGGCCAGGGTGGCTATTTTGGATTCGGGTATTAGTTGGAATTGGATTGGATCCAATCCAATAAGATTTGGATGGAATTTGGATGGCCCGGGTACCGGATTTTGTTGGGGAAAATTGGGCAATTGGGGGAAATTGCGCAATCGGATCCAAGAAAAACATATCTCTGAAAAAACGGGACAAACGGGGCAAAACGGGACGGGACGGGGCACCGAGTCTGCAAAATTAAGCGGGGCGGGACGGGACGGGGCACCGATACTCCTTGCCCCGTTTCGCACCCCAGATTTCGGATAGAAAATCGTCGTTTTGACTCTGTTGATTCTGTTTTCGAATAAAAACTTACTTTTTCCCTTCTTTTCAAAGCACAAGAAGCCTTGAAAAAATTGGAAATCTATTTGGATCCAATTGGAATTGGGGATTATTGGGGAATTGGGTAAAAATTGGATTGGATTGGATTTTGGATGGATAGGTTCGACTTAAAATTTATTGGATGGAAATTGGATGGCCAGACACCAAAATTTTGTCCAAAATAGCCACCCTGAACAAGGCTACGTCGTTCGTTACGGGTGGATTGGAGATAACGGCATCTGGGCGCATGTTCTGACTCGCTTGCAAAATAAATCAGCGATCGTTTTCATCCCCATCAATTCCTTTGTCGACGAAGAGAGCGAACTCCCTGACAATTTCATCAATCAACATCCTGTTTTTATCCTCCACCAGTGGACAAGCGAAACTTGGATAAAAGAAACTGATTCGATCCACTTTTTTGATCTGAAAGTCGCGGAAAATGGAGAAGAAGGAAAATTAGACTTTATCTTTCACTTCGAAAATATGTCCGGCTTTGAGCATCTGTTCTATTTGACGGCGTTGTTAAACTGGAACGCGGATAGAATTCCCGACTTGCAATTCAACTCTACAATCATGTGCGAGACAATGATCAGGCCTATTACAACAGGCAATTGGCAAGTGCAAAACACGGGAATCGACATTGATTTCGCCAACCAGCTTGTGTATTTCCAAGGTAAGATATATACGCTCATTATTTGTCGTAAACGATTTCTAGGAATGCGAGACTCGCCTCTTGAAACCCATCTCTACCGAGTAAATTATCAGAAGGGGAATGCCCATGACGAGTCTTGTCTTCGTCTTACTAAATCCAACTTTAACCACTTCGACATTTCTGTTTTCATCGACGAGAACATGTTTCTTGTAAAATCTTCAAACGTCAACACACCTACCTCAATTGAAATCTACCGGTACGCAAGGCTCAATTTGATGAATTTATATTTGTTTTAGAATTCCCAAGCCTGAAACCGCCATCTTCTGGACAGAAGAAGGTGTGTGCCCTCGCCCGCTTGCCTTTCTTGCCGACGATGTCACTCAAACTCAACAGCCAAAGCCTGAAAAACTTGCGAAGAGAGAATCCCGCGGCCCTGAGATATTTTCCTTCAAAAACAGCTCCGGTGATGAGATTTTCGGCCAGATCTACAAGCCGGAGAACTTTGATTCCAAGAACAAATATCCGACAATTGTCTATGTTTATGGAGGCCCTCGAGTGCAGAACATCAGGAATCAGTTCTCTGCTTCGAGGTCTGACAGGCATAGAATGTATTCCAAGGTTTGTCTCACGAAACTCTTCCCATTCACATAATAACTTGCAGTTTGGATACGTTATCCTAACTTTCGACAACCGAGGATCTGACAATCGTGGTCTCAAGTTCGAAGGAGTCATCAAAGATCACATGGGATACTACGAGGTGCAAGACCAAGTTGAAGGCATTGCATACGTTGCACAGAACATGGGATTCATTGATGTCAATCGCGTGGCTATCGAAGGCTGGTCTTATGGAGGCTTTATGTCGCTTATGGCAATTGCTCAGTATCCTGATGTTTTCAAAATTGCTATTTCTGGTGCACCAGGGAAGGTTTAACTAGATCTCTGTAGAAAGCTGAAATGATTGAGTGTGATTAAACCCAAAAATAGTCGTCGACTGGCGATTGTACGACTCTGCCTATACTGAACGATACCTTGGTTTACCGCAAGACAACCCAAAAGCTTACAGTGATTCGTCCGTGGTGCAGCAAGTACCTAATTTACCTGATGAGCCTAATCGTCTCCTTCTCTTCCATGGCATGATCGATGAAAATGTCATTACAACAAATATGATGGTGCTCATTGAAAAACTCACCAGAGCATGCAAGGTAACTTAAACCTAACTAAATAAATTTTAAAAAATTCTAGCCTTACGATTTGAAGCTATTCGTGCAAGAGCGGCATTCAATGCGCTCCAGCAAAACAGTCGAATATTACGAAATGACTGTACTTACCTACTTGAACCAGTTCCTCTAAGCCGCGCTGTAGCGTATCAGCCGCCAACGAAAGTTTTGTTTTGTTTCTCCAAGGTGTACCTTTTGTGATCACGTTGCTGCCCCGATTTGTTTCTGTATATTTTGTAGAGTTCGAAAATTGACTTTAAAAAGATAAAATAATGACCGTTTATTAAACAATCCTTGATTTTTGAATATAGAATGGATTACGAAGAGTACAAGGAGGATGAAAACGGCGAATTGACAATAACTAACGCGAAGAAAATGAAAAATCTTCAAGTTGATGTTTTGCCATGCGTGTAAGTTAATACTGAATAAGAAAGGTTCCATATCTGCTAAGAATCCACGAGTGCGATGGAAAAGAAGTAAGTCTCAACGGCTGGTTCAACATGTACCGCCGCCAAAGACGGAACTGCTACCTCGATGTTCCGCGGCCGCCCTCTCAAGGAAAAACGTACAAAGATACCAATTTTTATCTCATGAAAGAAGACAAGCTAAATGAAGACGCGCTAAAAGCAACTGCTAAAGTAACTGAATTCACCAACTGGGTAGTTCAGGTAAAAGCAACATCGAGAAAGCAAGAAATGAATTAATTTTAGCCTCTTGTGGAGGACCGAATGACCGCCTTTGTCGAGCAAGTTCCAGCTCTGATGGCCGCTCTCCATGA